AGGGGAACAGACAAGTTGCTGTTCTTTTGTTCTTCAGTCTAGTTGTGGAGGACGTCACTTCACTGGCCCATGTTGGTATTATCATTGCGCTCTTCCCAAGTGAGGCAGAATGGTCGCCGACCTCTGGACGGCCGCTCACGGTGGCTCTTGGCAGCTCATGCCAGCTGCGGGCCTCTCACACTGGCTGCCAGCCACTCAATTGTAGTTTGCAGCAGTCCACTGCAGCGTATGCCGTCTCTGGCAACTCACAGCAGCCTAGCTCCAGGTCAAGCTGTTTTTCACCATCTTAGCTGTAGAGGGTGCAGCGTCACTGGTCCTCATTTGGGATTCGAACCGGGGCCCTGCTGCTCAGCACAGGCATCCCAAACCAGCTCTTAACCAATGCACCACTCGGCCAGTCCGAGGTTGAGTTTTGAAAGTTTTAGATTTTATTATTTGAATTATTCTTCATCTGGAGCACTATCATACCAACTTTGATGTTATTTTGGGTAATACGGTTTTGTGATTTCTTAAATGTTCGTCTAGAAGGAGCAACAATTAGCAACTTACTTTGAACATAATTTCGAGGAATACTAAAATAAGATACATCTGAAATATATAGTTCTCCGTAAGACATGATGTAATGTGAAAAAGAGGTGGGTCCAGGGCTGGGACTGTGGTCTGTGGTGGGATGACACACTCACGAAGCATGGTTGGGGCTGAAGAGAATACCTGCTGTGGGCAGTGGGAAGAAGTCCAGGTGAGCAGAGTATGGCTTCTAAGTAAGTGTTCAACGTCAGAAAGAATTGGCAAACAGTAAGAGGGCTCCAGCTCCAGGACTGGGGTTTAGGGACAATATTCAAGCGACATGGGGGGGATGAGGATAAAGACTGGCATGAGTGACTTAAAGACCAAAGTAAAGTACAGAAACTAGGAGAGTAGGCAGATTATGAAGATAAGCACTTAAGGGACTAGAACCAGGAAAAAGGCAAGGAATTCGTTTTAGAAGCACAGAACTCCAGGTACAAAATCTGAGCTGTGAGACAGAAAACAGGCTAGCTTAATGTCTATTGCCTTAGTGCTGAACTAGAGCTCTTCAGATCCCATGCTGGAGGGGATAGAAGTCTCAGAGCTTGAGAGAATAGAGGAAGTAAGGCCACTGCTCATGATAAAAAAAATGTCCCAGGTTTAAAGGAAATCAGGAAGAAAATTACATGGTTTTTATGGGTAGCTCTTTATTGCAATTTTACAATTACTGAGTCTAGTCATTGTTGATTAATTTACAATGCTGAGAAAGAAATGTGTTCTTTCACCAGAGTGATAGCGACAGTAGGCAGATAAACACATTTACAAACCTAAAGTTTGTATAACTGCCTAGAAGTCCTGCAAAGGGGAGTCAGTTCAATCAGTTTATTGGATCTAAAATAAAATACTTAAACTGTAGTATTTCTTCTTGGCCCTTTGGTTAGCTAGAAAGGAACCTACCTAAGATACAAACTGAAAGCCTTACTAGTTTTTACTTCTTTGGATTTATTTCTTAAGACGAATAAGGTTTTGGGTTAAAAGGAGAAATTTGATTGGTTATCTACCCAGAGTATAAGGCAAATAACCAGAAATGTGGTCTGGTTATTTGTCTTCAAAATTCAGAAATTTCTATACCAAAAATTTATAGAGCAAGAAAATTCTCTAATAATATAGGAAAATGTGAGGACTTTAGACTCCAAAGAATTACTTGTTTTCTCTAATTCCACCTTCAAAATATCTGCTTTCACTCTGCGCCTATTCACCCCTTCTCTCCATGTCAGTACTGAGTGCAGAAGTGAGCTGGCTTCCTTTGGAAGCCTTCGGAACTTGCTCTGAGATGGGGAGGGTCCCTCAAATTCTGACAATATATAACAAAGGGAGAAAAGAATCAGGAATAGTCTTATTTTCCACATCTTACTTGAGATATAAAATAGTCATGGATTTTTGTTTTCCTTGGGATAACTGCTAAACCCCTTTTGTAGAAGAGTGAGAGCAAAGAATCTACCTAGAAGACAATTGCAATCAGACAAGTTTAAGAGGTAATTCAGAGGTAACAACATGTTATGTTTTGTGGCAGAGACTCAAGAGTTTTAAAAAACAGCACATTTTAAAGGAGTCTAAAAAGCACTGCTCAGGGAATGCCACATTAACGAGTAAGTACAAATTAAAAAACAATATGCCAGTGGTGATTCATGGTGACTCAGCTAAAGTAATTTGGTAACCTTAACACAGAATGTTCTTTGATGTCGCCACCCCCCCACCCCCAACTTTTTTTTTCCTTCTTTTTTTGATGAGGGGAGGAAGAGGGAGACAGGAAATCAATTTAATGTTTTTCATTTAGGTGAATTAAAATCATGCAAAATTACTTTTCTTGGCTTTTGCAGCTTGATTTAACAAATGAATAAGCATATGCCTATCTGACACTCTATTACTCCCACCTGGAAGCACAAACACGTTGAGCCTTCCTATCACAAAGAATGTATTGACTCCAGAATATGTAGGTGATGATATATTTTTCACTTTTTATTTTATAATAATTTTATAAATAAAAACTTTGCAAAAATAATACAAAGAATTTATATATATGCTTCACCCAGCTTCCCCTAATGTTCCTTACATAACCATCTTACAATGGAAAAAAACAGGAAATTAACATTGATAACATTATTATTACCTAAATTATGAACCTTATTGAAATTTCACCAGTTTTTCCTCAATGTACTATTCTTTCTGTTTGAGGATCCAATCTAGGCTCCCACATTGCATTTAGTTTTGTGTATCTATTTAGTCTCTGTGGATTTGTGACATTCTTGCTAGTTTTGGACCAATATTTCAGTCCAGTAAGAGCATCTTGAATTTTGTTTCTATCATACATATTATTCCTTGGGTTATAATTCTGCTCATTTTAAAACATGACTTTTTTAACCATCATCCAAGTCCATAATAAAAGTGTTGACTTAGGATGGTAACTTGTGACACTTCATTGTGGTCCTCCCTGCAGTTACAGAAGTGTGGCTTAAACTATGGTTTTTAAAATCTACCCATTTCCCTCTTTCTAAGCTAAGGATATTATCTCCCCATTCTAGGATTCTGGCATCTCTCCCATTGTCCATTGATTCTCTAAGATTGTTGGTAGTGACTCACAGGGACCATCTCAACTAAGTTCCGTCTGAGACTGAGAATGTAATTCATCAGAGTTTTAAAATGTGAATTCATTTAATGTGGCTAAATGTTGTCTTTTGACCTCTACCCACTGGACAGTTGTTTACTGCTAAATTACTTCAACTGTTAAAAGGTGAAGAGATTTTTAGTGTGGGTAGAAAGCTGACAGTGCCTTGCACATATTATGTGCTCAATACATGTTGAATGAATGAATGGATGATTATAGGATGACTGAATGGATTTCTGGCTAGTTTGAGCAGTAGGGATACCATTGGGGTGTGCTGACAGCAAAAGTACTTCTTCACTAGAAGAATGGGGTTTCTGATTTATACAAGTTAAGATATAAATTTACTAGTTAAGTTGTTATAAATCAAATACCCAGCTGCTTCCTTTAGGTAATACGAACGCTATTTTAGCTA